GCCTGAGGACACTACTCTCCCAGTGGGGTACCCCCGGCCTCTAGATATTTAGTCCTGTGGAAGGGACACATTTAGTACTCTATCTCTCTGTTACATTACATTGTATTCTTTCCTTGTCAGCTTAACTTATTAGCTTAGGGGAGGGACCATGCATATATCTCACCCCATAGCTTGCTAGCAAACACATTATGCAACCTTGCATTTACTTTTCCTCACTGTTTGGACGGCTGCATTACTCTACTCATAATTTTCATTTCTTTGGAGGAAACCAATAGTGGGAGAGGAGGAAATTAAACGGAGTCTCGGATATGTAAAAAACGGATGTTCTTATAGCTTCTTCAGTGCTTAGGTAGGAGTTACCGCCACCTGTACCACTCTTTGTCACTGTTCATGCTCGAATGAGAGAAAAAAGGGGCGTAAGTAAAACACCAGGCCAAGCTTACTATAAAAAGTAGCATAATTAGGGTTTAGATTATATCTTGAAGTGGGGGAGCTCTAGTTTTGCTCATCCTATTGGAGTCGTGCTCCAATAAGAGAAGAGGGGGTGTAAGTAAAACACTTAAGCAGACTTGCTAAAAGAATGAGTAGTCTTAGGAGTTAAGTCCCATTTAAGGTTTAGGTTATATCTTGAAGTGGGATAACTCTCATTTAGCTCATCCATTGGAGCGTTGAACCCTTGACATCCCCATTTCCCTATCCAAATGTACAAAGGGAAACCCTAAAACCAGCTTTAACGCCGGGAATTCAGCTTTGCGGAGACGTTTTTACCCGCTTGAGCTAAAAATTCCGTCTCATTTTTATCCTTAGTAATATGAAAAAATAAACAAACGAACAAAACTCATTAAATGGGTATTCTGCTTATGCAAAAATATGGAGAATCTGTCGCCAGTTGGTGTTTAATTTTGGAACAATTACTGCCCGCAGGCCCTTTTCATTTTCCTGCAGAAACCCTAAAAGCTTGAAAAAATCCAAACAAAGATGCATGACAAAATACTGTGCAATCATGCAAGCTGCTCTACGTTATTCCCAACAATCGGATTTTCGTCGAGACATAATCAAAGGCTCCATGCGCACTCTACGTTGATCTCCCGCCACGTGGAAGGAACCCATTGGTGGAAGTCCATAATGATGATGGACGATGACATGTGGTCAGCAGTTTAAGGTACATTAAGGTTGATATTGGACGGGTATGATCTGTGTATATATGGGAAAGCAATGAGTAGTGTGACATTTTAGGGTATGTGTGTTCTGGAGGGCACGTACACGGGACCATTTGGAGGACCATTGGAGGATTTGTTCATGGAAATAGCATGGCACGCGTTGTACCCCGTTTGGTTTTGGTTTTTAGACTTTCCTTCGCAGAGGGTGAGGGTATGAAAGTATATATGGGTCTGAAGCCAAACAGAAAGAAACCAAACAAGAAAGAGCCAAACACTAAAAGCTAGGGTTTGGAATTTATGGAAGGAGATGTGAATTATGAGTCTCTGTAATTTTGGTTGTTATATATATCAAGGCCTTTTTTCTTATGCGTATGATTGCATCTCTGGTATTTCTTGGCTTATTATTCGTATCCTCTTACACATGTAACATATATATACATATATATATATATATATATATATATATGGATATGTTTATAACAATGATTTTATTGAACAACTTGACATTGGGATTATCTTGATCTTTATAGAGTTGGGCGAAAATCATGTGAACGATCATGCCGGCCAAACCAAATCAATCTGAATCGCGCACAATCATGAAAAATCAGTTGTTTCTTATTAGATAGTGATATCAACCATTTTATCTCCAAGAATAAAGTTGTAATTTATTTTCCTCAAAATCTCCATATCAATTATCAAATAGTTCCTTTTTATTTGATACATGTAAAAGAATACAAAATGTTTGTTTATTTACTTATGATGTCAAAAGGATTGAATCTACCGACAAACCAACTAAAATGGACTGGTTGATTTGTTTATGTAGATTGAGTTATATTTTAATTTTTGTAATACAACGATATAGTTTTATACTAACAGATGGAGTATTTGGACTATGCCACACAATCAGACACCATAATAATCTGTACTAAATTCACATTCCAAGATAATCGCACATGAAACATAAAAGATATATACTATAAGATTAAAATGTCGGTATAGTGGCGGGCTAAAGGCCCAATAAGTATCGTAGAAGAACTGCCATTCCCCCCAACTCCATATGGGCCTAGACACCCAAAACGTCCTTCATTAGTCGCAAAAGCTAGCTCCACAACTCAATCAATATTTAAAAATGAAATGAAAAATGAACCAACCTTATCAAATTTATAGACCGCATATTAGGAGGATGTTAGTTGTTAATAAAAATCGTCAATTTGTTCGATAGTTATGAAAAATAAAAATTTCTAAATCAACTGTTTTTAGAAGCATAAACATTAAATAACAAATAAAAAGTGAGCGATTTTTTAGAATTCTCCACTTGAGTTCGAATTCGCACAAATATATTTTTTGGAATCATCAACTCAGATTTGGCATATCATTTGATCCGATGATCAAAAGTACACTGCCTTATGTGGTATCAAAACTGGAAGAATATTAATTTGGCACATCAACGTGTAATGAAATATCTTTATTGGTGTGTAAGCGGCTCTTTACCACAGTGATGAAAATGTGTTGAGCTCTTGCATAACAACATGAGTTCAAATTCCGCTGATGATTAATCTAACAGCTAATCTAACCAAATCTATCGTTCGACTAAAAAAAAAATATCTCTATTGGTGGGCCATCAGGCTATGAATTTGGCCCAGTCCAGAGTCTAAAGACTAAACCGACGTGTGTTAATTTCGTAGTCCCCTCTACTCAACACGTGTTATAGTCCATTGCTGGTTTGCCAACGCTCTCTCTCTCTCTCTCTCTCTTTCAGAAACATAGAAGCGTTTCAGTGCGACTGCTGGTGCTGTAAGCTATGGAGGAGTACTCGGTAGACGACCCAACTCAGCTACTCGAAGCTGCTTCCGATTTCGCAAACTACCCCGGTAAGCACTAACCATTTTCCGCTCGCTTTCCTTCCAGTTTTTATGAACCAATTTTTTAACAGATATCACTGTTTTTTTCCTTTTGCAGGTTTTCAAAACGACGATTCAGCTAAGGAATTCCTCGATCGCTTCCCACTTCCTGTCATTCTCAAGTATACCCTTTTTCTGCTCCTACCCATACATTTTTCCAAGTTTTTGTGCTCGACTTCAATATCCTCTCAATTTTTGGTTGTGGGTTTGTGTGCATGTCAACTGTTTGATGAAAGTCGCCAAATTTTTCATGAAACTTAAACTTGGTCTGTATTGAATTTGTTTTGTTTCTCGCCTGCAGTGCTTTGCAAACGAAAGCCGATGTGCCGGGTCTGGAAAGCACACTGGTTGCTGTTTTGGAAAGGGTGTTCAAGACCAAATATGGCGCTTCTCTCATCCCCCATTTCATGGTATGCCTCATTTGTTGTGCTAACTGATTGCATGTCGTTGATGAATTTATTTGTGTTATTGTGGAAAAAGAAAGCGGGGTTGTCCCGAATTTGGTTAGGATACAGCTAATCCTTCTTTGATGACACTTGAAAGCTTTCGTGTTATGATGTATCGGAATGCCGTAAGGGATGCTTTGTCGATGAACATGCCGCTCTGGTTCAATCAAATAAAAGAAATTAAGCCATAGTATAAACCCAATTAATCTTCACAAATAAAGCCGCTTTTGTTTGTATTCTGTGTCTATCTAGATTCTTAAACTTCTCTCTTTGCTCTTCTTCAGCCATTTGTACAAGTTGGTCTGACGGCAGAGTCTCAGGAAGTCAAATCTTTAGCTTGTACAACGGTACGTATAAAAACTTCTTATTCTACTTTGCTTTATTTTGAGATTGCTGAATGTTATTGTTCCTACTTCCTAACTAGATACTTTTTATTTGTTTGTTATGGATTATTGTATATTTGATTTCGATTTGTTTTTTGGGGGAGTTGAAAGTTGAAACTTATGTAAGTAACGGGCAACGTTATTGGCTAGTGTAACCCGGTGTCATGAAAACAATCTTCAGGTTTCTTGTCTTCTCGAGAATTTGAATGAAGGTTCTGTTTCTGCAACACGCCTTATACTTTACCACAATATATATCCTCTTTTGCTGGATTGCCTCATTCATGGGTAAGGTTCAAATTTTAAGTTGAAGATCAATACTTGGATCTTTTATTATTTTTTTAGTCTTGTTTTCTTAGGGTAAATTATTTCTCGTTTCTTGGATCTTTTATCATTTTTTAGTCTTGTTTTCATTTTTGCTTTATCTTTGATGTTCATGATAATGTTTTTCTTCTGGTGTCTAGCAATGAAAAAGTTGCAACTCTAGCAATGGATGCAATAGAGAAGATAGCTGGTTCTCCCGAGGGCATAGTATGGACATCGCATTTACTGCTATCTCTGACTTTAAATGTGGTCTCCTTAAAATGTTGTTGTAATGAATACCTGCACTGTGATAACTTATGAAAATCCCTTGCTGTCAATATGTAGGATATTGTCTTCCCGGCTAATACTAACGAAGCTACACATCTTGGGGCTCTATCAGCCCAATGCTCGTCAGTGGTAGGGTGGCCGTTAATTTTGTGATTTATAAATGTATAGTTAAACTATCCTGAAATTTGGTTGTTATTTTAGTGAAAGAACTGGAAAAGAACACTAGTTATCAGGGATGCTGGTCTTTCATGTTTTTCTGTTACACAACATTGTAGCGATACTTGACTAATTTGTGCTGTTGACATGTGCATCAGAGGCATGTATTAAAGTGGTTGTAAGAAGTTGAGGATAGTTTAATCCATTAATATAGATGTACCAATTTTAGACAGTCAAAGGAAATGTTTTTGTATGCATTTACAATCTCTGTACGAACTTCCATGTATATTGATATTAGTCATATATGCTACTGTGCTTGATTTTAGATTATTTTCTGATTTTCTCTGCTTAAGTTTTTTAAAGAAAAATAATATGAATGTTGTGCAGGGACGGGTCCGGGTTCTGGCTTTGATAGTGAAGCTAGTCTCTGTGTCCGCTGATGTAGCATCAGTAGTTCAAAAGTCAAATCTACTTGGACTTTTGAGGCAGAAATCAATAACAGAACTGATACCCTTTCAACCTTGAGCATTTTGGAACTTTTGTATGAGGTTGGCCATTGGTCATCTACACTGTTCTCTCTCTCTCTCTCTCTCTCTCTCTCTCTCTCTCTCTCTCCCCCCTCACGCACAATATGCAAAACGATCTATTTTGGAATCTCCAACTCTCCATATTAGCACCTTTGGTGCTCCATTTTTGTGCCATATACTGATTATGATTTTCTGCATGCTCTGTGTTGAAACTTAGAAATTAGATATGCAGAACAACTAAGCATACATAAATTATATGATGAAAAAAGCAGGTACACTACTTTGTTCTAGGACCAATGTTTAGTACACAATGCTTAAGAGAACTGTGGCCCTTAATTTGTATGTTTTATCTCCAAGTGAATGGCATGTATCTTAAGTTCTCTCATTTTTTCTTTTACAATCTAATCGATGGAGAATTCCAAATTTCTGGTAGTGTTTTCTTTTGACAGTCTCTTTCCTTGCTTAAAAACTGTATATTGAGATGTTCTTGTTGTATGTGCTCAAATGATAAAGTTGTCAGAGATCGAGCATGATAGAGAGTTTTTGTCTGCAAGCACCCTTCTGCAACTACTTAGTTCTATAATCAGGTGCTTAAACAACATTTTTGTTATCTGTTTCGTTTTGAGTACTCTATATCGCTTAAAGTCTTAGAGACAGAAGTGACACAACATAATATCATTGTATAACTTGTAGCAACAAATCAATGGAGTCGATTTTAAGAACAAGGGCAATGATGATTAGTGGAAGAATTCTGTCCAAGGAGAATTACATACATGCTGATGAATTAAGTAAGTCTCACAGATTTGGAAATTTGTAATATGATGAATAATATCTACTCACATCATTCCAGAGTATCATAAAACCATTGTTTTTTTCCTTTCATCCTGCATATAAGATGCCCTGTAGTCTAGTGCCTGCATATTTCTGGCTCATTTGGTAGCTTTTTTACCTGTATTACAAGGACAGATATCATTAATTTTATTGCTGCCCTGCTGTTAAGGTGCTTGCCATCCCATTCTCTGACCCAAAGAAGAAGAAGAAAAGAGTCTGCTTTAGTGGACACCCATTATTCGTTTCTTAGTTTTAGTTTTTTGGCTTGCTTGCTTGCATTTATCCAATGGAATCAAGGCTACCCCCAAATCTCCAGTTGCAATTGGCCCCCAATTTCCTATTAGGTTTGAAAGAGAGCGCTAAAATATTATCTTGGACCATGGTATGTCACTCAAATCACTTAGTGATCCAGCATACAACATTAGGTGAATTTGCTATATGCATACAGTTATACAAATATATTTCTTCTGTCGCATGTTATTTATTCTCTTTTGAAATGGGAACGATCTTCAATGATTTCAAAGGGTAGACTTTGAGATTTGTTACTTAAGAAAAAAAATGCTTTACCAAAGATCGTAAAACCGAAAAAGCTGTCACGAATTGCTTTTGATACTAATTTTAATTTTCCAGGTGTAAAAACTGTATTATCGGCCATAGACGGGATACTTAGTTCATCCGAAACTCAAGAAATAGATGAATGTGAATCTGCTATTGAAGCACTGGGTCAAATAGGGTCATGTAAGTATGCCAGTACCTTCTCTAAGCTTGGGAAATGATTTTCATAACGTGAAACATATCCACCTATCATCATCATCAAGAAGTTAACATTTATACCTGGTTTTATGGGAATATGATCTTAGCAATTCAAGGAGCGCAGTTTCTATTGTCAAGTTCACCACCAGCTGCAAGACATGTTATCTATGCTGCCTTTGATAGGCACGGACATGGTAAACAACTGGTTAGTAAATCTAGTCTTTTCGCTTTATGGGTTTAAGTTCTCCAGCCCTCTTTTATTGTACAAATTTTTTATGTTCCTTATCATGTTTTAATTTGCCAATTTGATTGAATCTGAAAAGCTTCTCCTGTATTGAATAGTGTGTTTGTGTGTATCTTTAGTAAGTAGCTAAGCTAACCCTGAACTATAAGATCCAAGATTAAAATGCTGTCACAGTGAGGATTAGAACACTCATTAATCTTGGTTGTAGAAAGAGATATAGTGGTATAAGATAATCTACTTATTTTAGCTACTAACTAGTCTCTGTCTGTCTATTTGTAATAAAAGTACATGCAAAGAATACAGAAATAGGAGTAGAAAAACTAGGCATTGCAAGAACATCATGTTTTGCATGGTCATGGTATACACCTTTCAAAAGGTAAAGGAAGCTGATGACAATGACGAGTATGCTATACTACAATTTCCTGCATCTTTTTGGACTATTGAGTATGCTGTATGACACTCTCCTGCTTCTAAATCCGGTACCTGTTGCTGCCTACTAGATACACCTTGCGTGCCAAATAACATGGATGGGGTTATGTGATAAATATGGTCTGACAATTTAACTTCCACAATGAACTTGTAAATGAATTTTTTTTAATAGCTCCTGAGCCGTTTCTCCCAGCAGTTGAAGATTGTTATCTGTAATTAAATGGGGATAGTTGAGCTTAGAGGTGTCATGGGCACAAACCCAATTTTGACCTATTGGTCCTAGTATCATAGGCATTGCGTGGTTGTTTTGCAAGATCTCACTTTTATATATATATATATATATATATATATATATATATATATATATATATAAAGGGGAGTATTTTATATATATAAATTAAAAATAAAAAAAACTTGTTAGGGATTAATAATGCCATAGTCAAAAGTTAAACGATTTAAATAATCAATCAGCTTTGGATAATCTGAATGCTAGCCAGTGTCTTATGATGTGTTTTCTAGAATCTATGACAATTATTTGACCGGAGGAGGCTTCGAAGTCAGAAACTAATTGCCACATAACTTGTTGACTCTGTTCACTTGATGATATAGTATCCCCTAACGGGCCTTGTTCCCTTGTCCCTAGGAGCCATCATATTTCACACCCTTATTTAAACATGACTTTTGTGCTCCAGCCCATCTCAGTTGCCATATCATGTAACAGGGATAACAGATTATTACACGCACCTTCCTTTGGGAGAGAGATTAGAATGCCTGCTATAACGTACTAGAACACGGATGATCTTATGTGTTGACCACATCTAACAACTACCTTCATGGACCCTAAAACAAATTTATTCCTTGATTGCATCCGTTGGAATATTGGTTTTTGCCCAATGATGAATGGTTTGGATTGTAAACATGGGATATAATAAGATGTTTCTAGTAATTGACTGAACTGTTTTTGTGATCTGTCCAAATACTTGGTGATGATAAAAAATAGTGTGTGTTGTAGTTTACGATCAAATTCTTACTTCAATGGTTCTTTGATGAAAAATACAGGCTGCCTTACATGCCCTTGGAAACATCTCTGGAGAAACTCGGCCTGCGAACAGCATGATACTGACTAGTGATGCAGAAGAAAGCCTTCGACGCTTGATTTATGAAACAGCATCTAAGAGTTCAAAGCTGACACCATCTGTGAGCAGCTTTTTCCTTCTTAATTTTGTCCCTAAATATTATTTCATAAACCTCCAAATTGTTTTTTGCACGTGGGTGCAGGTTGCCTGCCTGGATTTTCATCCTTTCGCATGAATCCAACAATTTCTTTTAACATATCAATTGTTTGTCAGCGTCATTTAACTCTTTAAAATGTGTGGAAGTTTTACTTAGTTGTTGCAATTGGCAGGGCCTTTTCCTATCAGTTCTCAAACAGGATTCAGAAATTCGTTTGGCGGTGAGATTTCTAATGACATCATGAATTGTGGATTCTTAGTGGTGCAACTGTTGAATACTTTTTTGAACATGTATATAATTGAAAGTTTGGAGTTTAAAGTAACATGCTCCATTTAGTTTGGTTGTACCCCTTAGATGTGTTAATATTTTTCCATCTGTAAGTATGATACTTAAATTGGCTGAATATTTTGTGTTTATTGTTTCATTCGTTGCTGTAATTACTAAGTACTTTTTGGAAACATGCTGCTTTTTATATTGTGGATCACCTTTGGAAGTGTTAATCGGTAACCAAAGTGCTACGCTTTGATTATGTCATAAAGAACAATGTGTAAAGTAAATTTAAAAATTGGAAGTTTGATGATACTTCTGTAGGCATATAGTAGAAATTAAGATGATATAAAAATAAAATAAAATTGTTAGTACATCTGATGCTTATATTTGTAATTTTCTATATTTTTGGTATTTATTGTGGTTATTAAATGTGGATAATTCAGGGATATCGAATGCTGTCTGGGTTGGTTGCTCGTCCATGGTGCCTGATGGAGATTTGCTCAAAGCAAGAGATAATAAATATAGTGACTGATCCAATTACTGAAACCACTAAACTAGGTCTGGTTCACTTTTTCTCTATACTCGCTCAATTTATTACGTTGCAAGTTTATAAATACACAAGATTAACTACATGGAATTGGTTTGTACTTTTCTAACAATTTATAACAGATATTCTTTCCAGTGGTACCGTAACTACATAAAACTTTCAACTACATAAAACTTTCTGACTTTTCAGTGCTCAATTGTGTGCATTTTGAATGATAAAACCAATACTTATTATCTTGCATGGGCTAAATTATTATTTTGGATTGGCTCTCAAATGAATATCTAAAAGTCCATTGACTAGAGAGTGAATTGACAAAAGGCATTATATAGAATCATCGCATGGTCTTTGTTACAACGATCTCTCAGATTTTCTCCTGCTTTATGCTAAATTATTTACTTCTCCGTCTGAATTGAAGTTTGGTTACATATTTCAGAATTTGGCAAACCCTTAATATGCTTTCCTCTTGTTACTGAATTTCTTTTCGACTCAGGCAAAATGAATACTCTCATTTCTTATTTTGGGTTCTGAAATTCAACTGGCTTTAATTACTTGAATCTTATCTATTTCACGTGAATGAAAATTACTGTTCAGGTATGGAAGCCAGATATAATTGCTGCAAGGCAATCCACACCGCTTTTAACATGTCAAGTAAACTTGCCAGCGACCAATCTCTTTCTGGGATTGCGGCAAAGGTTAGTTATAACCTTCATTCATTTTTATATTTCTTAGAGGGGGAGTTTTTGGGGATCCTTGATTACAACACGGAATAATTTAAACGGTCGGACCTAAGTGTACGCTGGTGTGCATATCATTTCTTGAATTTTTTTTTATCATATACCCTAGTGCGGTTGCCATCGTATGCATGTGTGTGAATGAATTATCTGGTGTATGTGAGGGAGAGTTGAAAACCATTGAGGGGGAGAGTTGAAAACCATTGAAGGGAAAAGTTGTGGAACAAAAAACTGAAAATGGAAACCTATTGGTTTAAATAAGAAAATAAAATGTTTTATCTTTATAATTCACAACGAATCATTCGTAAACGCTCATGTTACCATCTCATGTATCTTCTCTTGATCCTTCCCTTCTGTACGCAGTTGCACGAAGCTGTTAAAATGGGTCCGTACCTTGCTAGTAAGCACCTTGAGGCTCAACCCATGGTGGTGACGGAGGACAGATTCTAGACTAGCATCAGCCACCGTGTGCAGCTTATGAGTTTACTGTTACCGTATGTTGCCTACAAAAGTTTGTTCATATTAACAGTGGAAGTGTGTTTAGCTGTGAATTCTCCTGAATTTTAAGCTGTGAATTTAAAGGAGAATTACTGCCCTTTCAGAACTTAAATACGTAAAGCTAGAGCGGAATTTGGAATTCCATTTAGCATCAAAGACAATTCTCTCAAGTTTCTCAGGATACAAAATTCTCCTTTAATTCCAGTTTAAAGGTAGATGTATTGGTTTCAGTGAAACTAGCGCACAATCAAGGATTTAAATTTTGTTTTTTATGGATAATCGGTAGTTCAAATTTAGTTGATAATTATATCGGTGCCAGTAAAAATATCGGTTAAAACTGCAAAATCATGGAAGCATGTTAATCAACATGAAAATAACGTTCAACATTTTCACAACTCCAAATTCAACATATTTGCCTGGAACAACATGTAGACTTTGTAAAATAATGTGGTAAAAATTTTCCTTTTCTATGTTCCACTACTTGTTTCTTGAGGCAGCCCTTCAGTCCTCGACAACTCATAACAGCGAGTCCTACCCAACTCAGTCGTCGTGATCAGGATGGCTGCCCTCTTTCCGGCAACATTTACAAACTAATGTACCGTCAGCCGGCAGGGTCACGATTCCTCGGCAACTCATACCGCAGAAGAGTAATTCCACACATCGAATTCCGCCCAGGGGTAAAATAGGAATTTCACATCCGCAGTGGATAAAATTCAGAGTAAGAGCATTCCCTCTGCAGTCTGCAGACAGAGGACTTCAAACAATTTGAGAGAGAGAGAGAGAGAGAGAGATGGCAGCTGCAGTTCATTGCCTATCCTTCCCTTCAAGATTCAGCAAGCTTTCACTCAATGGCCCTTCTACTTCCTCTGCCACTACTCATTCCACAACTTCCCTCAGTTTCTCAGCCACCCTTTCTCCCAATTTCTTCTCCAAAGGTAATCAAAGCTCTCTCTCTCTCTCTCTCTTGAAATTACTGCATTTTTCTTCTTGGAATTTTGTTTTTAACTTGAAAATTTTGAAACTTTTCCTATTTCAAATATGGGGTTTTCGAGATACGAAGAAACCCAGTTGTACAAGTCCCAGTCGTGTCATTGGGGTGGAAGATTTTGCATTTTGGTGTAAAAATTTGGTTTCTTTATCATATTATCACCAATTTTTCAGCACCTTACAGTGCAGAATGTTAAATCAAAAGAGAAAAATTACATCTTTTTCTTGTCTATTTTCAGGGTACTTGGCTGTGAGCCAACTTCAGAGGCCGGTTCGACATTCCATTGTTTGTGAGGTCGCTACGAAGAAGCCCGACTCTGCTGTGAAGAGAGCTCGGCAGGCCGAAAAGAGGAGGATTTACAACAAATCCCGCAAATCCGAAATTAAAACCCGAATGAAGAAGGTACTTCTCTTTTCAGCAAGTTAATTAGATTTAACTGATGGATTTCGCTTCTTTGGGCTTGCATTGTATGTAAAAAAAGTATATTCTGATTGTTTTCTTACATTGTTAACTGATGGGTTTTGCTTCTTTTGGCTTGCATTGTATGTTATATAAGTTTATCCTGTTGGTTTTGGGTTGAAGGAAGTACTTGTCTTACATTGTTAACTGATGGGTTTTGCTTCTTGTGACCATGTTTGATACTTGGATTCTCATCTAATTGAGCAACCATATCACTGTCTAAATTGATCTTATAATTGAGGTTAACGACCAAGTTCTGCGTTGGGTTTCATCATTTGGTTGGTTCAATTATACTTGTTCTAAGTTAAGGACATCTTTCCAGAAGTGGATAGGCAATTGTACCTTTACTTCTTAATCAATATGTTTGTCTTGAAGAACATCTTTCTGTAAGTTATCGAAAGGCCATTGTACCAAAGATAATGTATTGAATGTATGTTGTTTCCTTCTGTTCTCTGTTATTAAATGGGAAGATAAAGTTTGAAAGACCCAATTAGCGTTGTTACCTGATGAGAAAGGAATGGTTAGCATTTCAAATTGGAATGCCATTGATTAATTTTTGGTTACCTTTTCCAGGTTTTGGAAGCTCTGGATGGGCTGAAGAAGAAGCCGGATGCTGCACCCGAAGAGGTCCTTTCCATTGAGAAGCTCATTGGAGAGGCGTACTCCATTATTGACAAAGCAGTTAAGGTGGGAACTCTGCACAGGAATACAGGAGCGCGGAGAAAGTCTCGACTGGCTAGAAGAAAGAAGGCTGTTGAGGTCCACCATGGCTGGTACACCCCATCTCCAGAAGCTGCTAGTGTCTAACACAACCCCTTTGTTGGGTCCGCCCTTTGTTTCCCATAACATTTTGCCTTTGTAATGTGTAGCATTTGTCCTTTGAATGTATACACTTCTCTTTTATTTGGTACATGATTAGCTGTATTCAAATCTGGAAGTATTCAAAGTTAAATCATCAAATAAGATTTTTAAAGTCATTTTTCATTGATGCTATAACTTCAGCACAAAGTTTTTCTTCCATGATCCAACAAGAGCCGACGACTTCGAGTGGAAATCATTACACAGAAAAGCGAATGTGAGAAGAACTATGCATCGACGATGGGAGAGAACTCGATCAATCTATTTCTTTTTCCTAGGTTTGCCAGTAGCTACCTGAAACTATACACTCATAAATTCCCTCGTCCACAAGAGGTTCCGGTATGTCAGCTAGTTGGTAAGCAAGTTCAGAATCTCCCCCCAAAACTCCTCCATTTCTTCAACCACTTCCATTACACACTCGACCATGCTCTCGTTTCCTACACATTCAAACAAAATTCAACTCGATTAATAGTCTCTCTTCTCAAGTAAAATTTCCCCGACGTATATAAAGTTGTAAATGACAACAGCTACAGGCTAAAGCTAGCTAAGTTTGATTAGTCGTACCGGGAGAGTCCTGATTAGTGGAAGAAGTAGGAGAGCGTGACGATCCTTCTCCTCCTCCTTGTCGGATTTCAGTGAGCGGTGATGTGGACTAATTTCGGCTTCCTTGGAGTTCAAGGAAGGGACTCCATGTCCAGATCCAAAAGCTTTTAAGCCACAATATCCATTTCTGCAAGTACATATTAGTTAAAAGCACAGTTAATTATGTGTCTGCGTTAACAGCTTGGTATTACATAGGGATCTGAGGTAAATTACCAAGTGATTCCTTCCAGCTAATTTCCCTGGGTTTGTGAGGTAATTAAAATGACCAGGTCTCTTCTATGAAAGCTATATAAAGTCACCAACATGTGCTTTTTTCGCCTATCAGTACCCGGAGTTTAGCGTGTTCACCAGGCGAAGCATTCTTTAGGAGCAGGTAATCAATCCCATTCAACCTTCTTGTATACTTTGACAGTAAAAATGTTTGAGATGCCGTGTTGATTTCAAGACTGCTTACTTAGCAGCGTTTGGGTTCAGACACAACCCAACTGCAGGCAATGAAGACATGAACTTTTTGTGCACAGTATGTGCAAATTCCTCCCTATGAGAATGCACAAGAGGTTTGAGATTTCACATTAACTTTTTTTTTTTTTTTTTTTAAATTCTTCAACGTCTCTGTGCACGAATAATTCTAAGAATGAAAAATAGATTAGCATCGATCATCCACTGAACTCAAATGTATCGAAAAAGCCTTCGCCGTCTTGTTGCAGATCATTATATCACACAGAGAAGTAAACTTAAAACTTGAAAAAAAAGCTTTACCTTGCGGCCTTTGATGTCGCGGGCGGAAACAACACAACAATCGATCCTTTATCGGTTCATAGAAACCATTAATCCGTAATCGAGAAGACAAAATATGAAAGATACCTCTGAAGGTTTTACCTCTATCTTGGACTCACATCACCAGCATCTTAGTCCCACACCGGCCACAGCAAGAATAGGTAAACAAAGAGACAGAATAAATATGGTTGTACGAAACATTACTAAGCATACCTTTCTCGGCCTTTTGGCTAAGATCAAGTGTAGTATCTGTTCTTATCAGTTTAATATCTGATACGTGGACCAATGGTTCACATGATATTAAATTAATTTTTTAAGGAGGAGAGTCCACGCAGTAGCTTGCTACTGGGTCTCTTGCGCGTCGCCCAAGTGTTGCACTACAGCTGGGGCCTGGCGCACTCCACCAAATCTAGTTTTAATTTGTATAGTTTTATGCTCTGTAAGGGTTTACAGCTCTATAACAGTCGGTATTTCGACAATTTACAGCCTCGATCGAAGCTGACTAAACTCTTTTAACACAACCATGTTGCGTCAACATTTGCTAATCCAATTTCACTGTTCTACTCCTGTTCGATCATAGTGTTGCATGCACGTATGAATTTGGCAACTCTGTCGTTCATGGTCCCAACAATCTATATAATGTTGTTTATGAATCCCTGGTTCATCGATTACATTGTTTTCCAAGGAATGGAAATGCTACTGAAGAGATGAGAGAGAATGGATGGGTCTGGAGAATGTGACCCGCACGGTAATTTCTCTATCGAACACCTGGTTTAACCATGCCCGTTTATTACTAGAGGTTAACCTTGTTCAACTCCCTGTGTAGGGTTTGAGACTTTGAGTGAGAAAAATGAGAGATTTGATGTTGGGATGGAGGCAAAGCCTAGATTTGAACCGTGGGATATATTCTCATTTCATCCAATATTCCATAACACACCCCACTTTTTCAACTGCTTCCATAAGACACTTACCTGGAGGGAGAGTCAAGAGTGGAAGGAGGACTGTTGGAAAGCATGGAGTATCCTTGTCCTTGTCATTGTTGGATATCAGTGGGGGTGATCGGAATTGATTTCAGTTTTCTTGGAGTTGAAGGAAGTGATTCCATGTTCCTTTCTGTATATTTTGACAATAGAAATGTTTAAGATGTCGTCCATCGATCGTGTTGGTTCAAGACTACTTATGGGTGTAGGGTATCAAGATTTATATGGACTTTTGTTGAGTTTTTAAAGTAATATACTTTCAATGATTTAGTAGGCTTTTACTGATTATTATAAGCTCCATAAAAATTTCAGACTTTTAATGATATATTTTTTGTGGAAAATAAACAAGTTAAATGATAGACTTTGTAAAATTCTAGAGAGTTCAATGCTAGAATTTTGTGGATTGTCATGGGCTTTTTAATAACCAATTTATTAATAAGCATTATCATTTTTAAGTTTTCATTATTGAAATGGTGATCATGACCATGACAAAGTGGTCTTATGCGGTGCTGGCAATAGTAGTGGTGAAGGTGTGTCCTGTGGTTATTGTCGGCAAATGGTGATGGTAAAGCGGGTGTCTATGGTGGCGAAGGTAATAGTAGGGGTGCTGATTGTGGTGGTGTAGTGGAGGAGTAGGGATTAGGCGATGGTGATAGTGATGGGCTGGTGATGTTGGTGGTAGAGGTGGCAGTTATGGTGATATGTTGTTCCATTCTCATACCATTTAGTGATGGGTGTTACCTCACTTTTTTTTTTTTTTTGGGTATGCGGTATGCCGCTCCACAAGCAAGGAGCATCCAATGTGTGGTGGTGGAAGTGGTGACAATGATCTTCATTGCATTATGGTGGGTTGTGGGTGGTGGAGTACATCATCAGAGAACTGAGAAAAATAAGATCCATCAAAATTTTAGGGGGAGATAATTAGTTTGCAATGACAAAAAAAAAAAAAAACTTATTATAAAAGCACTCAAAGTCTATAAAAATCCATGAATTCTAAAATCTTTTAAAATAAATGAAATTTTGAGTACACCTGAATTTTTGTAGACTCACAAAAAGTCGTAATTGAATTTTCATAGAGTTTTAAAAGCCATAAAAGTCTTTACTTTATACAAAGTCACACAATACACCCCTCTTGAATGTAGTAAGGTTGGGTTTTAGAGACAATCCTTTTTAACCGCATGCAATGAAGACATGAACTTTCTACGCATGTGTAAACTTCTACCTCTGTGAATGCACATGAGGGTTGAGATATGACTAAAACGAATTGGTTTTATTAAAGTTATGACTGAGTATGTAAATCTTGATGAATTATTTCGTTATATCTCAATCCTCATGTGCATTCAGAATAAAGGTAAACCAAAACTTGAAAAAAAGCTTTACTTTGCACCTTTCGATGCTGTTTGGCGAAAACAACACAAGAATCGAGCCTTTATCGATTTATCCTTCCCTCATGATCCTAGAGCCATTAGTTTTTAAAGAGAATCGAGAAGACAAAGTTTCAGATATCCCTGTGAAGGTTTTTACCTCCTAGCTAGGAAAGGGATGCATGCATGCATTGTAGTAAAAATGTGGGCGATGCATACTTATTTAGGACCCATGTCATAAACATCTTAGTCCCACACTGGCCACAGCAAGAATGGTTAAGCAAAGAGACCCAATAAATAAGGTTTTACAACTCATTATTAAGCCTACCTTTCTCGGCCTTTTGGCTAAGATCAAGTGTAGTATCTGTTCTTATCAGTTTAATATCTGATATGTGAACGGCACATGATATTAAATTAATTTCTTTAGGGGGAGAATCAATTACAATAGCTTGCTATTGGGATTCTTGTGTGTCGCCCAAGCGTTGCATTATTGTTTGGGCTGGCGCACCCCACCAAAACTAGTCAAAGTTCTTTATGGTTTTATGCAATGTTTTAAAAGTTGTTAGATGCTAGTTGGGTGGTGATTAGGGGACTAGCAGCTAAGTGAATTTATGTAAATTTATTATATATCTTGTAAATGAGTGTTTATTTACACTTAAAAAAATATACTTGTATGGATAATAAAAGAATGGTAAAATGCAAAAATAGAAGTAGAAAAATACACAAATTATATACATCCAAAAAGTTCAATATTTAAAAAACAGTAAGCATATAATCATAATGAGGAGGATTTGGATGATAGACTAAATTCTTTTTGTTCATGAATCATGATCCTTGCATTAGATTGGACATAGACTAAATGATTTAACCTTGTTGTATCTAGTTTATTTCTTTTCTTTGTATGTATCCCCTCAAAAGTGCTCCAATTCGTTTCATTGTTGGATGAACTTGTAGTAAATCCATCATTTGCAAATTAGGTACACATTTCCCTAAGTATACCACCATGAAACCAAAAAAGAAAAAAGCACACAATTAATAAATAAATAAATAAATAAATTATATATATATATATATAAACCGCCTTGGTGCCGTCTAGCTCTCCGCCTAGCCCACCTAGGTGGCCGCCTAGCTCCAGACCGATTTTTCGAAACAATTTGCCCAAAATCGAGGTGGGCCTTCACCGCCTAGGCTGATTTTTAGAACACTGATTTTATGCTCAGTTCTTTCTACTACAATTTTATATTAATCTTTTATTTACAGATTATTTTACAAAGAAGAAACATTTTATGACATTCGCACGCATCGCCTAAGCGTTGCACCACTGCTCAGGCCTGGCGCACTCCACATCTAGTTTTAATGTTTTACAGTTTTTATGTTGTTCAACTTCTAATTCAATTACGGTGATTCTAGTCCAAGATAGTCCAGAGGTAAGAACAGTCGGTGGGGATCATCTTTCATTGTTGAGACAACGCTCTATTTGCTGAATGTTTTTGGGCTAGCTTATAAGCCCAATGTCTTAGAGATAGTTTGGGAGTGAGGTGCTTAAAAAAAAGCACCCATGAAAAAAAGTTGTGAGGGTTTTAGGTGTTTGGTAAATTGAAAAAAAAAGGCTTATTTTGGAAGCTACTGTGAGAATAAGCTGAAATCAAAGGAAAAAGCTAAAGTTGCTATTTGCAGCTTTGGAAAACTGGTTTTTTTTTCAAAGCACACGGAGCTACAGTGCTCCTTTAATGAAAAGACCCACTATGAGACTGTTTTTTTTTTTCTTCCAGAAGCACTTTTACAAAAAAAGTTTACCAAACACTCTGCTGATTTATTTCACAGCCGCTTACTCTCACAGCACAGCCGCTTATTCTCACAACAGTTTTTTTTCAAAACACAGTAATACCAAACCAGCCCTTAATCATGTCATCTTTTTGTGGCTCTTTCAAGAAGTATCTATTAGGATCAAACAACTATACACTATTGTAATGAGTATCCACACCAAAATAATCAAGCTTGCAAAAGAGAATTTCAGATCGTAAATTCATTCAACCCTCTTGCATCTTTTGACCATTGAAATTCAGGTTAAAATATGTTTGAGATGTTGTCGATCATGTCGTTTCCAGATTGCTTAATGTAGCAGGTTCAGATTCAGACACAACCATTTAAACTGCAAGAACTGAATTCATGAACTTCCTATCAGTGTGTAAGTTTCTCCAGAATGCACAGGAAGTTTGACATCATGGCCGGTACACCCCAACCCCGGAACAAGCGAGTGTTTGATCAAATCTCTTTGGTTGGTCATACTTTTTGTTTCCGATGACATTGTTCCTTTCGTAATGTGTAGTATTCATCCTCTTAATGCATACACCTCTCGTTTTATATGGAACAATAATTTTATTCCATCTTTTTGCGCAATGTAGTCTCTTAATCGACTTTGTCTTGACATGGAACAAAAAGAGCAGAATGTTGGGAAAAAAAAATTAGCAACTTTGAGTAGAAATCAATACATTGGAAGGTGAAGGCATGCAGGAGCAAGAACTCGATGGATTTATTTCTTTTTTGTAGGTTTTCTGGGAGCTACCTGAGACTTTACACTCATAAATTCCCTCTTTCCACAAAGCGTTCAAGTTCACCCGCTAACTTCTCACAACCATTTTGCAACAAGCAACAACACCGCCACCCTCCCACAAGCCATATAACCACTTATATTCTCTTTCGCGACACTTTCCGACAATGTTACACCCGCCCTCCCCCTGGCTGGCGCTCCTGCGTCCTACACATTTAAATAAA